GCATAGACAAGTGTGCATTTCTGGTGTTGCAACTGTTTGTTGAAACAACTCAGTATTCCTTCAGTTTCTGAAGATTTATTTTTCCTCTAGTGTCTTCAGTGCCACTTGGAAGTTTTCTTCCAATATCATTAGTTCTTGATCACGTGCCACTTCCTGAGAGGGTTGAATGTTGACCAGTTCTTTTTGGTCCAGTGACTTTGTGTATTCTTTCTCTTCCATATATCCCGCATCTTTCGATATTTTGCCAATAGATTCCTGTCTTAAATGTTGCAGTTGTTCTCATTGCTTCATTTCAGCTTCAGAATTGCCAAGTGTGTTCTTTTGGTTTCCTAACTCCACTTACTCGCCTTCCATGTCATTTCACGAATCCTCAGTTTTGGGCTAATTTCCTTATTGAACCATATCACCTTTCTGGCCGTAATAAAAAAATCTGATTATTTTGTGCATTAATGACTCCATATGTGAGATGAGAATAACTCCAGCCATATGGTTCAGGTCAGGTGTGAACATGGCACATGAGCTCCATGCATACTGAGCAGTGTGGAATCCTGGTAGGGTTATGAGCATGAACTTCAGAGTCCCAGATCTGGGTTCACATCTAGATTCTGTGTGCTGGAGTAGACCCCATGGCCGTGAGTTTGATTTCAGCTTGGTATATGACTGTATGCAGGTGCACAACCCTTGCCAATCTTAGTTTTTTTCTTCTGAAAAACTAAGACGATGCAGGATTATGGTGAGGATTGGAATCTTGATTATAGAACATTTAATTTGGCTTAGCACCTAAGAGGCATGGTGATTAACTTAATTTTTTTACAGAGAAAGATTTTTTCCCTCGGATACTGTTAACTCCTTACAGCTTCCCACTTTTTATCTCAAGGAGAGGAGATGTCTGGATGTAAGCCAGAAAGGGTAGAAAAGGTTCTAGATCCCTCTCCCAAGAAAAGGGTGGGTGTACTGGACATGTCTGGTAGAGGCTGGCTTGGGAATGTGCTGGATACTAATCTGCTTTGTGTGGCAGTTATTGTTGACCAATAGGAGTAGCTGACCATGGGCAGTGATAGTCAGGTTGCTTGTTTAGTGGGAATGTTTTTCTCAACTTGTTACTTGCAAACTCAGGTTAGGTAATGTCATTCATCTTTGAATCACCAGGGCCTGGCAAATGACTTGTCCCTTAACTTGTCCTTAAATGTTTATAAAAGTGGAATTTCTTTCGGTGGCATTTAACATGTTCAAAGTATATGAGACAATAGTTTTGCCACCCTCACTTCTAAGGAGTATTTGGCTGTCCTTCTTCCAAGACATATTTTTGTTCTTCCGGCAGTGCCTGGTGTATTCCGTATTCTTCACCAACACTATATATAGAGGGATGGCTTTCAGACTGAGAGTAATACTCAAAAGGCCACAACTGATAAATACCACTTTAGTTGTTTTAGCGCCCTTGTCTCCTGGTTACCATTTTAGGCCTCTTTTTTGGACCTACGTGCATACACCATTTATTCACTCATTCCTTATCCCTCTGAGTTCCTCCCATATTCTTAATGCTTAGTAAATGCTACCTTCCTCTTTTCTCTTTCTGCCTCCTTGGTTAAATTGTGCAGCTGAGCTTCCTAGGAGCCAGAAGACCATAACTTCCTGAGACTTTTAGACCTAATATACAAAATATTTATTGTAGCTCAGATTGTTTTCTGTTATATCCCTTTTTGCTTATCTTGGCAGTCATCCTATTATTCTGTTGTCCATAGAAGAGGATAAATGATTATTTGAAAGACTGAATAAGCTGTTTAAAAAAATGATCTCTACTGCTTTATTTTTATTTGATGTACCTATTTTAGGGATATGTTAGTCTTGATTGTTTTCCTTAAGCAAAAGCTAATTTGGATCTGTTCTATAGTATTAAATGTGGTCACAAACTGTACTTTCATTTGGGCTCAAACTATTAAGAATAGTTTCTAGGTGAGGGGCCAGCCCCAATCCCAACAGCTGCCCCTCCCCCCAGAAGAATTCACTTCAGAGGACAGCACTGAAGCTACAGCTCAGGGAGAGACACGTGTCTGATCAGAGCACACAGGAGCAAATGAAGGGGGAGGAAGAGAGAGTGGAGCGTATCCTGGCCCACCAAGCCTTAAGGACAATATCCCGGCTCAGAGCAGCCAATGCACAGAGAGGATCATATGGCTGGCCCCACTATGAGAAACAATGGCTGGCCCCACTATGAGAAACAACATCCCTCACTGACCCATAACCCTACAGGGGACAACACTGGAGACACAGTGCAGGAACTGGGTCCGATCTGACCCCACCACACCGATGCAAAACACTAATGGCATGCAACAGAACATCAAGGGGAACAGAGCAAGGAAGTCCCAAGGGACAAAATAGCCTTTGGGGACAGGACGTGGCACCTCATCAGACTTGATCGGAAAACATTCCTAAAGGTCAACAAATGGATGTTGAACAATTTACAGGCTTTTCTCTTTTTTTGTCATTTTTTTGTTGTTATTTTCTTTTCTTTTGTTGCTTTGTTTTGCTCTGTCTTGTTTTTGTGCATATTATTATCTCTGAAGGTCTATCTAGATGATAGACGGGATAAACAATCTGGAGGAGAAAACAGTGGGACCAACAGTTCCCTGGGGACATGGGAGAGGGGGAGTTGGGGAAAAGGAAGTGGTGTTAACAAACCCAGGGACAAAGGAAAAAAGTGATCCAAAATCAGTGGTGAGGAGGGTGTAAGAGGCCTGGTAGGGCTTGATCAAGGGTAATGTAACCGAGAGGAATTACTGAAACCCGAATGAATGCTGAGCATGATAGTGGGACAAGAGAAAAGTAAAAAGAAATAGAGGAAAGAACTAGGAGACAAAGGGCATTTATAGAGGTCTAAATATAGGCATGTACATATGTAAATATGTTTATATATGATGAAGGGGAAATAGATCTATGTGCATATATTTATAGGTATAGTATTAAGGTAGCAGATGAACATTGGGCCTCCACTCAAGTACTCCCGCAATACAAAGATACTTTGTTCTGTTAAACTGGCATTCCATGATGCTCACCTTCCTGACATGATCACTGAAGACAAATGGGTGCATAAGCAAATGTGGTGAAGAAAGCTGATAGTGCCTGGCTATCAAGAGATATAGCATCTGGGGTCTTAAAGGCTTGAAGGTAAACAAACGACCATCTAGCTCGGAAGCAACAGAGCCCACATGGAGTAAGCACACCAGCCTGTGTGATCACGAGGTGTTGAAGGGATGTCAGGTATCAGGCATCAAAGAACAAAAAATCATATCATTGTGAATGAAGGGGAGCGTGGAGTGGGGGCCCAAGGTTCATCTGTTGGCACCTAGACATCCCCTTACAGAAGGGTTGCGGGGAGGAGATGAGCCAGTCAGGATGCAGTGTAGCAACCATGAAACATGCAACTTTCCTCTAGTTCTTAAATACTTCCTTCCCCCACTATCATGATCCTAATTCTACCATACAAATCCGGCTAGACCAGATGATGTACACTGGTACAGATAGGAACTGGAAACACAGGGAATCTAGGACAGATGATACCTTCAAGACCACTGATGAGAGAGGCGATATCAGGAGGGTGGAGGGAAGGTGGGGTGGAAAGCGGGAACCGATTACAAGGATCTACTGAAGGGAGACATTGTACAGTATAAGCCATGACAAAATAATAATAATTTATAAATTATCAAGGGTTCATGGGGGGGAGCGGGGGGAAATGAGGAGCTGATACCAAGGGCTCAAGTAGAAAGCAAATGTTTTGAGAATGATGATGCCAACAAATGTACAAATGTGCTTGACACAATGGATGGATGGATGGATTGTACAAGCCCCCAGTAAAATGATTTTTTTAAAAAGGGATCGTTTCTAGGTAATTTCCTGCAGGCTTAAGTGAAATGTGGTGGTACTAAAAAAAAAATTTCCCCTTCAGTGGCATAGCTATCATCAAAAGGTCAGTAGTTCAAACCCTCAGGAGCTCACTGCACTGTCTTCTGAAGTCTCAGAAACCCAAAGAGGCAGTTTCTACGCTGTCGTATAAGGTTACTCAACTTGCTGGCAGTCGGTGGGTTAGTTTGCTTTAGCTCTCTATTTTCAAAATATATTTGTACCTAAAATTATGAAAACACTACGTTGGGTTAAAGCTTTTTCATGAATGCTTTTCAAAAGGTCATTTTAGTATTTTAGACACATTTTTATTTTTAGAAAATGTATCTGATGAATAAAATTTACAGGTATATGTAAATAATTTTATTAGAGGATCTTACAGCTCTTATAACATTCCATATATCAATTGCATCAAGTGTATTTGTACATATGTGGCCATCATCATTTTCTAAACATTTACTTCCTATTTGAGCCCTTGGCATCAGCTCCTCTTTTTCCCCTTTCAACCCCCCGCCAACCCCTTTTATATATATATATATTTTTTCTTTAAACATTTTTTTTAATCGTTTTATTAGGGGCTCCCCTTTTATATTTTTAAAAGAAAGTTTATAGAGTCTGTGTAGACTGAGAATGTCCAACAATGGCATTCCTCCTACCACAAAATAATCTCTGTTCATTTGTACCCCAGTGAGAGTTAGGGGTGGATGGCAAGGACAAAGCCAACTCACCTAGGTATTCCTTCTGAATTTAACGTTTTAGTTCATTTAAAGGAAGTCATTCTGAAAGGCATGGGTCATATAGATTAGAGAATATTAGGGGAAAGGATATAATTTTATTTAATTAATTATGAAAATATATATCTTAAATTTGATGTATGTCATTATTATTAATGAAAATGATGACTTTGTTATGAAAAATGTCTGTAACTTTGATTTCTGGCACATCTTGCACCCATGGAGCAGCTGGTGTGTTTGAACCTGTCACTTTTGGTTAGCAGCCACCAGCTGTGGTTAGCACCAGGGTTATAGCAGGAAGCAAAGAATATGGTATTGATGTCAGAAAGTAAATTTACGTATCATGTTGTTCTGTGTTTTTACTTTTAGGACCGGAGTAGGCCCTATGACACTTTTAACTTGCACTCGTTGGAGAACTCTTTAATGGATATGATAAGGACTGATCATGAGCCTCTGAAAGGTAAACACTACCCTCCCAGTGGCCCACCAATGAGTTTCGCTGATATAATGTGGAGGAATCATTTTGCAGGTTAGGAATATTCATATGTCCATTCCTTGCTTGGTGTTTTAAACAAAAATCAGCTTTTTAATGTGATTTTGTTTGTGTTTTGTTTGTTTGTTTTTCTGTTTGCTTTGCTTTTGTAAAGCTTTGTGGAATGTGTTAAAGTTGATTTTCTTTCTTAAAATCTGGGTTTAGCTACCTAAGAGAATCGGTATTGATTGCTTTAATCAATGATGTGTTGCAGAAGCATGGCCCAGTAGCTTGAGGTCAAGGTTACAGGTTGCAGCATGAAATCAGAAGCTGTTTTCTGGATTTTTGTGCATTTGGAATCCTCAGTTGAATCTGTACACTTCATTTAAACTCAGAAAAGTATGAAATTTAGCAACTAATCTCTAAAGATCACTTCAGAAAGTGTCAAACATTCAGATTCCATTCATACTTCCTCTCTTAATATAGGGACTATATACAAACCCAAGAATAGCTGGTGACATGCTGCATTCCTGAAGCTAAAGCACGAGGAAAAGGTTTTTGTTTTAATAAGAACTACTCTTTATCCATGTTTCACCTCTACTATTTCTAAGCGTATTTTTGGATGCAAAAACTCTCCCTTTCTTTCATAAAAGGAAACTTAGAAAGATTGTAGTACAATTTCATCTCTTTATAGATATTGAATGTAAAGTTTATAGATGTCACCATATTTGTTAGTGGTGGAGCTCAGACCAGAAGCTGGTCTCTAAAATCCCCATTCTCCATACTTCCCACTTCACTCTTGTGTTTTTAAATGATTTTGCTTATTTTGTTTTGTCTTGAGACTGTACACAATAAAACATACACGAATTCAACAGTTTCTGCATGTACCTTTTAGTAGAATTGATGATGTTCTCTGGTACTGTAGCCATTTTCTGAGTTGTGCCTCCACCATTAACATATCTTCATTGCCCCCTACGACTTCTGCCGAATCCTTGAGTTGCTTTTGTCACAATGACTACTTATAAACAGCTCTTAGAGGAGCGTAATGCTCGAGGCAGACTTTTTTTTTTAACCAGTTGAGCTAAAGTGTTTGGTTTTAAAAAGACTTAGAGGGATATTTTTAGTATAAGCGTTATTATCACAGGGTAGTGCTTTCAGGAGATCGTCCAATCACCTGAATTTGAACTGCTGTTCTGTGTATTCCGAGTTTTACTCAGGATTCTTCTGTAGAATCTTTGATTAAAATATTCCGTATGGGAGCCAGGTCCATTCAGTTCTTGGGTCTTATGGCAGAGGAGGCAGTTCTGTTCATGGAGGCATTCAGCCACCCATTCCATATTCTACAAGGAGAATGTTTGAAAGTAAAATGTTTTGAGTTAAACATAAGGCAGAAAGTCACAAAAGCAGTAGTACTAGGATTTCCTATTTTTAAAGCCTCTGAAAAGTCAGGCTACATTACTGGTACTGCAGCCAGAATTTTAAGTACCAGTAGTTCTTTTTATATCTTAGAATGTTTAGGGACCCTATACATCTTAAAACAGTCTAATGGAAAATGCCTATGGTGCCTGGGTTTAAGATTTAAATATCTGGAAACTGACGTATTAGCCACAGGTATGCCCAACTTAGGTTGACTTCTATCTCCTCTGGAGTTCAGAGGTAGTTGAGTTCTTGCGGTTTTCACCAGGCCTTTCCTAGCATAGAGGGTGTCTCGCTGGAACCACCTGACTTTCCTTTCCTCAGGCCACACCAGAAATCCATTGCAGTATTTTCTAATCACCTTTATGCCTTTCTGCTCCTTTCCTTAATTTCCAGTGAAAAGAGTTATTAATATGCTATTGAGGAAATAAAGGACTTTAGGAAACATATCTTAAGACCTTAAAAAAAAAAGACCTTCAGAGATAGAGAAAAAAATCCCTCTCATTTATTCATTGTTATGTTTACTCACTGTTATCCTCTTTTTTGAGGTACAAGATAATAGGAAACAGTAATTTAAAGCATATTTCACTTGGAAGTGAGAATGGTGTTTAAAAAAAAAAAACTCCAACAAGATTCACAGAATGTTTTGTGTTTTCAGTATCATTTAAGGCTTCATTTGTGTTCTTTATCATGAATAGCTAGCTATAAAGCCTCTCCTAATTATTCTAAAATATTCAGCCCCAGTATCTTTGTGCATACCTATTTTATCTTGGACTGTCTTCTCTAAACAAAAACACTCTTTTTAGCACAAAAGATTAGGAAAGGATCTTCAATTATAATCCATAAAATAATTCTGCTAAATTTTGTGAATACTGCATTGTTTAAGCAGGAGCTATATGCCTGCTTGAGTATAGTAGCAATGTAAGGAAAGTACCTCACAAGGAGGGTAATGTGATCCCCTATTACATTGTTGATGGTCTTTTTAATCTCTGCAAGATTCTTTTTTTTGTTGTTGTTGCCCCCCCACCCCTCTCTGCAAGATTCTTTACAGGCACATAGAAATAAGTACAACCTACTGTGCTCTATTTATGGATATAATATGCCCTATAAGTTGCATGGTACTTGACCTATATATTTTTACAGCCTCAATATAGTTACAACTTCCTAGTTCATTCCACCCACAGTGATTTTCTATGAACAAACTACTTCCTCATGGTCAGTTATATCATCACGTCATTGTATAGGTAGTCCCCAACTTACAGAGGGGTTCCTTTCTGACTACTCCCTGTCAGGTCAATTATGACAGAAATCAAATACTTATTATTTTTTAACCTTTCCTTATTACTGACTTTTTATTCTCAGAGTCTTTATAAATCTCATCTTTGTCTTTAGGGGTTAACACGAGAATGATAACATCAGCAAATTCCATGCTGAAGACATTGTATGCAGTACATATTATTAAGGATAAGATGTTCAACTCCCCTCCCCACAAATCAAACAAACTGATCATCTTGTGTGCAATTAGTTGTAATTTGAGTTCATTGTAAGTTGGGCTACCTTTATTTTGGTTAGGGTGTTTGAACTTCCTGCTTCCTATTTACAACTGGCAGATATAGACATATTTATTTTTCTTTTTAAATTGTGAATTAGGTGATCATTTACAGATTAAATCAATTTTATGTTAAACAATTCATACACATTATTTTCGACTCATCCATTGTAATGCTTTCAATGTACCATTACTTCTCCCACTTCCTCCTTGCATTTCCTGCTTCTTTCTTAATCCTCTGAGTTTTATCCTTGAGTAAGTGCTACCCTTTTGATCTTAAGGGGTTGATTATTCTAACAATAGGGGAAGTGCAGTTCTAGACCTGAAGGGTGACTAAGGGATTCTTAGTCTACGTCTTAGGAGTTCCACCAGTCTATAACTGACTAGCAAGACTGGTGGTTGATGTCTTTTATGATTTTGAGTTTTGTTCCATATTTTTTACCCATTTTATCCAGGAGCTTCTAATGCAAGCCCTTTCAGAGCAATTGGCAATGGTAGCCAAGAACCATGTAGATCTTCTAATCACAGCGTTTTGGAGACTGTTTATGTGGTCCAGCAGTTCATTAGACTGTTTCCATATTCATCACTCTTCTTTCTTCTGGATGAGGAGACACCAATAGGTGCACCTTAGATGGCTAATTATGAACTTTTAAGAAACCCAGTCTTTACTCATCGAAGTAGAATGTAGAGTATTGTCTTTATGAACAACATTTTGGCGCTCTATCTTGGTATCTCCTGAGACGATGGTCTTGATCCCCTGGCCCAGACTTAAATCGTTTGATTATGTCTAAGTTTTCTTAACTTTGCCTCCTGTGTGTGTCACTACATTCATGGATAATTTGCAGCAAATACACATGTTTAAGTATTCTCTGTCAAACCTTTAAATATGATTTATAGTCCCATATATTTTGTCCTTATTATTTCTCCTCACTATGTTAATCTTAGTTATGCTAGGACTTTTTTAATGTAAATATTTTCTCACTTTAGAAAAATGGATAAAAATTCTAGAAAATTTTAGGTACCTAAAAAGTGAACACAGTGAAGTGAGCTGTAATACAAGTGGTAGTTCATTTTAAAATTGTATTCAATAAGAAATTCCTTTTATTTGATGTTTTCTTAATTCAAGGAAAAAGTTAAAGGGGAGATTACAGCAACAGGAAGTTCAGGAAGTAATGACACTTCTATTTGAGTAAAATAAATAAACTTTAGTAGTTTTTAAATCATGTTTGGACTGTACTAGGTCAACCTTGAAGATATTTATAGGAATTTTAAAAAGAACTACCTCCTCCATCATGATAAAAATATCATGTAATGTATAGGAAATATCAAACTAAGCTTTCTTCAGAGCACACTGAAGAGGTCTTCTGCAGTATTAGCAGATCACAGATGTCTTAGTTATATAAAAAACAGACTGATTTATTTATTTTTGACTCTTACAGAATTCAAACTATAGTTCTTAGATGTTAACAGTGTACCATCAGAATAATTACCTATTGTCTCTGACCATATCTGCACTCTTCCTTTTGTTTGGGAGAGGGAGTATTTAAGAAGGATGGTGAACTAATTAAAATGGTTCTTATTCCTTTTTGAAAGATAGAAATACTTGGGCAGAATGAGACCTGGACCAGAGGAATTATTCTCTGCTGTCTCTCACTTCTTGTGTCTTGAGAGGATTTGGTGGCTCTAGGAGAGTTGGGAGGACTCAGAACCCTGATGGCACAGTGTTTAAGTGCTTAGCTGCTAATCTAAATGTTGTAGTTTGAACCCATCAGCCCCTCCATGGGAGAAAGATAAGGTAGTGGTGTCAACAGGATCAGGTATCAAAAGATCCAAAAAAACAATGATATTGATGTGAATGAGGAGAGTTGGAGTGGAGACCCAAAGCCCATCTGTAGACGATTGGACATATCCCTACAGGAGGGTTACCAGGAAGGGACAATTCAATCAGGGTGAACAATAGTGGGAATAGCGGTATCATGAGGGTAGGGGGATGGTGGGGGCAGGAGGGGGCTGTCAGGCGAGGAGGGGAAGAAAGAGGGAGCCCATCACAAGGTTGTATATATAGCCCACCTCCCAGGGGGATGAATAACAG